AGTCATTATCATAAACTACAGAACTTTCCGATATCGTATAGTTCACTGTCACCTAGAAGCCCGGGTGACGATACCCGAGTAAACGGTCTTAGTTTTCAAGAAGTGCCAGCGCATTTCAAGTTTAAAAAGGTGTTATGAAATCCAGTATCGTCATAGTATAGCATCATCTTGAAGTATGAGATCAATATCTGTCACGTTTCATACTTAACGGGCTCATATTATCATACGGTCTTATTATTCTGTTTCAACGCTGCGCTATTTGAAAAGGAGCTCGGAAAATCCAAATTGAAATTTTATTCCAATACAATAATCACAACGTGCATGCCTTCGTCTTTGCATTAGGTATAAACCTAAAAAAACTGGCTCATCTTTTTTAATTCTTGTTCTTTTGTCACAGCGACGTCTCCGAATTTATATACTCCATGTAGCAGATATACAACAATAAAAACGATATCCGAAATGATATCCTTGTAAATTTATACAAATTTAGGCTTTTAAGTTTGTAAGTCAAATCTTGAGACTTATAGAAGTCGCAAGGTTTGACTTTTGATTACCGTACTGTAAACATTCCCAGGTTTTAAAGTGTGTCGAGTAAATACACCTTCAGATAACATGTCGGAATCTGTTTTTTATACCATCATTATTATTTTTTGGGTAGCTTACTATCAAAATGCTCTTATTCCACTCTTCTAGGAGTTGTGACAATATCATTCTAATGTCACAGTTGCTGTATGGAATATTCGAGGTTTAGGTAAACAATCGATAGGGAACCCCAAGAACAATTAACGGTCAAAGTCCTAGTTAACCGATAGCTTCACTAGCAACAGAAGTATGAGACTAAATCCTAAATGGACTTATCGGCACTGCTTATCTTTATCTCATTCACCGTTTTTGGTTCTGTCTGAATGCTCAAAATCATCTTAACACCATTCGCAAAGGATATTCATATTGACCGTACGACCTTGACAATTCTGGATTATTGGCATAAGTTACCTCAATTTTGTTGATATCAGTATTTTCTGTTAACTTCTGAAGCGTTCAGAATTTCTGCCGTGAAAGAACACACGTGTTGTTCTGATTAGGCAGCTGATGCTAACACGTTGCTAAGTTGGTTCTATAGTAACAAAATAAATGTGAATAATTCGAGACATTCCGTGTTGAGTACCCTGCGCGGTGCTACTTTTTGCATATCAAAGAACCGCGAGTTCGGCCGATTAAAGCATTTTTTACCCCAGCCTGTGGGAAAACCAACAACGTGAATTTCTAGTCCGGAAAAGAGCAGACGGTGTAACTCTCTGCTTGAAAGTGTGCACGCAGTTGAAGCGTCTTTTACATTCTTTGTTCAAAGTATTATTTTGAGCTAGGAATAGAAGCTGTGATACATAAATCATTCAAGTTTTTCCCGTTTGATATTAGAAATTACGGAGTTAGTTTTTATTCTCCAGGATTGCTATTCCCAAATCACTAATTCATGGGGGTGGCTTTGAAACATGCAGAATGACAAATATAATAAACAAAATCATTTAAGAACAAAATGCTATTTATCTTTGTGGATAGAGCGCTAAAAACATTCAAAGATGTTCTTTTTTATTGTATCGTCAATAGAAAGATATAAAAACTGAACTAAACTAACCCAGTTGATGATATGCCAGTATGTAGTAGCATATTTAGAAAATACATTAGTTGAGAGCTAAGCAATGAATACATGATTCAGCTACCTTTCTACAAGGTAGCATTCGTATATTTTACTTATTAAACCTACTATTATTTATATGTGGAATCCTAGAAACGTTGCATGCAGTTTGTAAACCTTATTCAAAAGTCCATTGAACCTACCTGAAAACTTGTATAGCTGCCTGCATAGCGACGCGTACCGTGACGGTTTCAACATAATATACAATTTTTGTCCCCTATTTAGCTTTTCGATAATGCGCTTGACGTGCTAGCGACTAATAATATTTCGTGATAACCTTACGCGATTCGCTCCCCTTTGGTGGCCTCTGCTAGGTTTGGTGTTCTTAAGTTAGTTTCAACCGAAATTGCTTACACGAAATCATCCACTTTAACATCTCCCTGCTGTTGGATACAACCCTTCTTATCCCGTTCCTTATTATTATATTATTATTATAATGTTCCTTATTAGCAAAGTATTGTGTCATAAATAGTTTGCTCCAAAGGGCTCAAAGCTAGTATTAATAGACCTGGGTTCTTCTCTCACGCCCAAACGGTCTTTAGTTTCATAATATATTATTATTAGAACCTAGTAACAAACAAGAATTGCACTTAGACGAACTGCAGAATACTGTCTTGACATTGATATTACTATCATCAGATGAAAATAGACAAAAATTGCCCATGAAAATAACACACGGGTAATAATAACAGAGAACTGGCCATAGTTTTCAGAGACAATGCTATATGTTAACGAAAACATTTGTATTGCACACAATGACTTAAAACAATAGATACTGATAGGTAGTGAACTCGAGTGAAAACAAACCCTTCGATAGAGAACATGCATTGCTTTGCATCAGAATGTGCTTCTTAGTTTGTACCGAAGGTTCTCAATCTAACGATGTCTACGCGTTTTGTGCTGACTGCCAATATGCACAAACCTGGTAGCGGGTTCTGCGTTGTCAAACACGGTTGTGTTAATTACCGAATTTCATATAGCAGTGCTGCATATGACTTCTTATAATAAGTGCACAGATCTCCATGATCCCCCAGGTTTGTACCCATTTTTGATGCACTGGGTACGTAATGAGCAGGCAAACTTGATGGGCAGACATGCAAATGACTATCGACAACGATAAAAAATTGTTTCAGTAACTGACAGATAGTTTCTGTAAGCCCGTTTATGTAGACTAAAAATGCTGGCGCCAAGAATTACCCTTTTGGGTTCGTGCAATATGGGTTTTCTTTGCAACAGTAGCCCTCATGACAGTTGAAAAATCGTCACCTGAGAAATCGTATTATATTGATGTTTTCATAAGCTGCACTTCATGGTACGTTCTCGTCGCCTCCTTACTCAAGTTAACCTAACATCTGCGCGAATCAGTGCGTATATGTATGCATATATATGTCAACCAGTGGTTTCCGCATTGTGATCCATAGACCAGCACTTGGCGAGTGCTGATGGGATGTTTAAGTAGTCGCATGTTTGGCCACGTCATGTCTGCTGTCATTGTTCCTTTTTCCCCTTTTCCGTAGTACCATTCCGTGGTAATGCCATCGATCAAACGGAGGAACAGACTGATCATTGGCAGCAGTATTTCAAAGGATTGTCTTTTCGCCCGTCCCCCAGAATTTGGACGGATTGTTTTATTCGGCTCAAGAAAAAGAAGAACAGTCTAGATAGCTACCGATGGACTGTCCCATCAACAGGATTGTTCGAACTTCGACACATTCGACAGCATGTGCAGAAAGAAATAACTAGGACGAAGTAAGCCTAAAAATTGCCCTGCTGTAACATAAATGCCAGCCATTGCATTCTTCCCTCCACCAGGCACGCAGAGCATTTACATAGTCCCTTTTTGGGCAGGGAACATCCTTGTAAGACGACCACCTTGGAACAGATTGAGCCGCAAGGCAGCAAACACACTGGTACACCCCGTACATGCATATTATACTTTATTATCCGAGACCTAAAAATCTCTTGCAACCACCAAATCGAAAAACTGAACATTGCATTATTCCATGCTAGCAAAGAGGATACAATAAGCGATACAATTTTCGCGAGCCCAAACACCCCGTTTTCATCAAGGTTGACACATCTGTATTTTGAGAATTACTCCACCTAGTTCTTTTCTTCCTGTTATCAGTATATTACTGTTTTCAGTGAAATTTTATGTAGTATCGACAAGTTGTAAGCAATATCAGTTAAAAACCGCTTGGATGCAAATAGATAAATAAATCCTTAATAAATCAGATAAAATATTCATCGAACAAGACGAAATAGTTACTACAATGCACGGTATATGCGTCCAGAATGAATTTTATTTTATGTTTCAATGCGCATATATTAGAGTGACTGTAGGCATGACCCGTACTGTTGGCCGTAACTGCCTAACGAACGCTTGGTGGATTCACAAACACTTTCCTTGAATTTTGTACAAAATAAGGCGTAGGCTTTTTACGCAAACAAGAGTATTCGATCGAATTTGTTGTCAGGTTACAGTCTTATCCAATCTTCGCATTTGATTATTTACTTAACCATCTTTTTTAATTACTGAAATGACATATTTACTTTGCCTAACTTGTTAAAACATACAAGCCACGAACCAACTTAATACTGACATCAAATGATTTGCCAATGTTATGCAACCTATATAAAACTCCAAAATGGTTCAACAATAAAGTCAACATAATATGCCACTAAAAAGGCAAATAAAGCAAAGATTACGCATAGTTTAATTACAAACCATGTTAATAAAACTCAGCATTTCCGATCGGAATGTCTTGTAGCTTCGGGTAAGTCCAATAATGCAAGGGATGAATATTGGTACCGTTTCGGAAAATTCAAAAGATAACTTCTGAGCTCCGTTTATCGATCTATCAGCGTCCCATGCTCGAATTAAACAAAAAAGCTGAAATTCGAAAATAACTGACGGAATTTTCGGTTATATGTACCAAATTTCGAGAAATCCAGAGAGGGGTTCGGTAGCTTAACTAGACGAAAAGAGCTTTATTTCTTACACGTTGCCTGCTTGCAAAAAACAAGTCCGGTAAATTTGCCACTGCCTATAATAACCTTCGCCAGAGGAACTAAGAGAACGAATCAGCCCACTAAACCGATCCGGAAAGAAAATGCCCGTCGGCCTTTTATCTGTATTCACAAGGGGTTTTTATTAGGACTATTGACATTTCCTGGTGTATTTATGTGTTTTTCGGGAAATCTCTCAAGGCATTTTATCTACGTATCCTCTCATATGCATGTTCAAAATGTTGATATATGAGGAAATCCATCGTTTGGAGAACCAAGTCTTTTTATTCACGCTTACCTGTCCCTTTCACGGGATGGCTCTCATGACAAGTTGATTTTAAGCTGCACGAATGCTTAATCACTATGGATATGATACGTCATTCCTCTGATAGATTTAAGAGTTGGTGTAAATCTTTATATGTGTTTGCACTGACCCTTCTTTTTTTCTTCAGGAAGCCTATAATAGTTGGCTTAATCACTGGCTGTCTAACGGCGCACTAGCAGCTGTTCACATGTACTTGTCCTCCATAGGTTTCACAAAAAACAAATGCACTTGCACAGAATATATGTATAGAATAACATTTACATGTCCTCTTTCTACTTCGTCTCAACTCTAGGACCACTACGAAGATACCGCGTTCGATTAGATGTCACTCAGCTAGAAAGTCAGCTGAGAGCTGCGCTCTCTGCAGAGTCTCGCTGCCGAATGTCTGTTGTCTGCTCAAATGTCCCAGCTGCTGCTGCCATCGCCACCGCCGCTACAACTGACGGCGAATTTCAATGCCGCTCTCCTTGGGCTTCTCTCTCAAATCTTGTAACGCTCCGCTACACAAGAAGCGAATAACTAGATCCGTTTAAAATATGTACGTCTCGCTTGATACGTGCGGTGCGAACGCTAACTGGTTAACGCGCGTTCGTGGTATTGACCAGGTCAACCTATGGCACAACCGGGTAGGGTTGTGGCAATATTAACATAGCATCGCTGATTATGATGCTTTCAGATCTTGGCGGCGGCAACGACTGCTGCTGCTGCTTTTCAACCTAAGATGGCGGCAGCTGGGTTTGTATCAGGCTGGTGATGATTGCTTGTTATTGTTGTTCGTGTCATTGATGGTGGCCGTGCTGGACGGAGTCGGTGTGAATGTTGTGCGCTCTGCTGCGACGATACAGGCAACAACGCTAGCAAATCTATAGCAAAGTAGTAAAGCGTCTGCGAATCGAAGTGTCGTGCAAGTGAATAGTTGGTCTCAATTGTTTTTCGCTACTATCAGATCGTTCGTTCACAAACTGGATCCGCTTCTAAATATTTAAGCATCCATTAAAACGGTAAGACGATTCTACACAGCGCAATAGACCAAGTAATCGTTTCTCGTTTGCACCGTAATTCAGACAATATTCGTATGTACAATTATTTTTTCTCATTTATTTGCGGACGGGGATTTGTCGACTAAGATCAGCAAAGAAAAACGTTACTGAGAACACTTCGTATTGCCTGTTTCAATAACAACACAAAGTAGAGTTCTTCTTAAATGCCTGGTAAAGGATGCATCCTGGCTATAGTCCGCTGACTCCTGAGCTTATATTGCGTCTAGCATTACGAGCCCTCATCTGAGGGCACTTACGATCGGGTGAAAGATTCTAGGCGATAATAGCTTCCACAGAATCTTTACCAGATGGTCTGGTATCAGCTGTCGGCGATGTCAATTATTGGTCATATTCCAACCAAGGTTGCGGAGACGTGCCGCACCATAATAGCACCAGCGCCGTCAGCTGATGCGATGCTGACACAGTACCGTACGTTAACCCTTCTTGCCCGAAGATAGATGCTGTTGCCACATACCATGCACATGCGTTGTGCTATAAAGCCCCCTTATCTTAAATGCGCAACTTTTCAGCTACTTTCTTGATTAAAGGTATTTATTATTCCAATACACATTTAGAAGGTTTTCGGGTATTTGATTTTATGTCTAGAATTTCAGTAGTTTTATGCACTACTCCTTGTCGCATTGTTTCCATGATTTCTCATTTACATACAATTCGGCTTCCTTAAAGTAACTTGTAACTCATTTCTTTTTGTCGTTTTCAAAATTTTCACCAGTTCTCAACTTTACCATACGGATGCGTTTTCAATTCAAAAGAGATGTCTGCATTCGTATCCGTTGAATAAGAAAGCACTGACTTTTAATTACTGTGATGATATTCATTCAGTGTAATGCAATTCAACTCTGTGGAGCCCAAATGAGTGGCTAGCATCAAAGACTATTGTTGCTGATAGATTCTAGGTGCAGTAACTAAGCTACCGCATTACGCTTGGTAAAGCTTGTTCTCTAGGTAAACAATGTTGACCTCGCCTCTGGAGCACGTGCCAATTGGTAACAGCCCCAAACTTGGAAAGTTTGGAAAGGGGATTCTTTGCATTTAAACCGACAACGAGGAACAGTAATACAGAGTCATTATTTTTGCTACAGTTCATGTTTCAAATGATGAGCTGCCAAAACAATAATAGTAGCCAAGCCGTTTAATAACAAAAAGTGCACATGCACGGCTCAGAATGCTTTACGCGTAGTTAAGTTCTCTGGAATCAGCTGTTTGGCTTGTCCATTTTAAACTTTTAGGTATTCTTTTAGGCTTTTAAAGGCTCATGAGAGAAGTTAAAAGAAAAGACCTTTTAAAGTAAATGAAAAGGCCGTACCAAGCAGTCGATCACAAACTGAGCGATTGATTTGCTCCGAATTTGAAGAAATACTACGGAAAACTTCTTTGAACACCAGTCTAGCTATTGTCCACCATATGAATCATTTCTGCTAAGACACGTTTTATATATTATTGGTTTCTATACTCAGTTGTGACTTTTGTAGAAACTTGTCCCTCAGTACTGTGGATTTCTTAGAGTGTCTCAGTAAACTAACAAAAACCATTAAAAATGGCGATTGCGGAATATTGTTTCGGCAAAATTACTTCTGGCAAGCTATTTTATTTATTGTGGCTGTCATTCGTCTCGATGGCTCATACGCGATTTTCGAATATTCCTCCCTATGAATTTGCGAAAGGTTTTTTCACAAAGACCATCAGCAAGCTAAAGCTCCTCAGGTTTTGCCCCAGAAGCTAAATGTTTTTCGTTTTGTATGTGATATTGTTGTTAAAAAAAGATGCTCCATAACAACGAAATTTACCTATGTTTGGTTTCAGATCTAGACTCACATTTCTCCAAGAGTAGCAGGCCATCGTGCCTATATCACAGAATTAGAAGACTCTCGCTTAAATATTTCGTGTACTTTTGGAACCATTGTTAGGCATTCTACTAAACGGCAGAGGACTCCAATTTTAATATCCTGAACTGAGCCATCTGAACTTCATTTTGGTCGCCTAAGACTATGTGACAGTGGCTAATATCGTCAAGAGTAGGTTTTAAGTGAACAAAGAACCTTTCCACATAAGGTGAAGCGTATTCAACAAAAATCAACGAGGTTCATCGTGAACTTATTTTTCTTATCCGTAGAACAAGCTTAGACTATTACCCTTTAATCGATAAAAGACTTTTTTTTATTTTTTCATCTTTATGTTCTCAATTTCAAGTTTGTAGCACCCTCAGCTTAGCGGGTTCACCCGCACTAAACGTTTAAACGTAGTCCTGACGATCATTGAGTCATCGTTTAAATATCATATTAATTACTGGCAGCTCGATAATGGTAACGATGTTTAGAAGCGCTAGAGTGTATATTAACCTCCCCTAGTAAATGAGATTGTTGGCGCTGAAACGCGTGGGTTTGCTATTACGAGCAGCATCATATGCACCTCATTTAATGACACAATTTAAACAAAATGCATGCCGCTTACTTAATTGTTCTAAGAAGGTGCGGTGTAATACAGCACTATAAATGCTTGGGGAATTGCTCTAATTTTAGACACGAAAATAACAATTTTCACTCACTTTCATTGAGAAATGTAAATTTTTTCATCTTTATTCTCTTAGCTCAACCAGCGAAGATTGTTAGTGTTATTTGCGAGATTATCCTGGACGAGACAATCCTACTTTCAAGGGTAAGGCTACTCTGAAATTCTGTTGTTGTTTACTCCTGATATTGGAAATGTTATTTTCATGTTTAAAATGCAAGCAACTCCGAGGGTTTGTCGTACGATTAGCTAGGACATATTAGCCCTTTGAGCGATTAAGCACGCAGCTTGCGTTCTGATTAGGATGTCGATTCTCGTAAATGATGGCGTGTATAATGTAGATCGTATTATGTAGTGGCGATTCCACGCGTTTGAATGTTTCACTAATTTCGTCTATACACTTTGACAATACTAAACTTCGTTGTCATTACCACACTCCTTGTACCGAAAATGACAAACTAACGGTAATTATATATATATAATTACACACTACTCCGGACTATTGATATGTAGTTTAAATGATTATAAATTCAATTATTTTGATTGCAAAACTTCTTGATGAAGATGACTTATAACTTTTCCTTTTACGACAGATGCTTAAAATGTTTACTGTGCTAGTCAATACAGTGCTAGCAACGACTAAGTTGAAAGCTAATACCGTGCTAATCTTAGATACACATTGTAGTCTAGATTCGAATCCGGGCATAGATGTGACTTCATTTCGTGCTGGGAGTCAACCGTCCGTGCAATGCATAACGGCACTACCGGACATAAAATTCGAAACATAGAGATCTAGGAAGCGAATAGAGTGTTTTATAGGACTTTTTTTTGACTAACTTATCAGTTTTGGAAGGTTCTAATAGAGATATACATGACGAAAATCCTGGTACAGGTGCTTCGTTTTGTTTAAGAAAAAAATTCGCCATTTTCATAAGAGTTCTCCAGAATGTATAGTGGAGACCACTCTGGCATAGAATTCAAGTAATTGGCATCAATTTCTATACTGTCGAAACGCGCGCTTAGGTTAGTGTTTACCTTTTTTGGGACATCATATATATATACAGTGCATTTTAATGCTTGAGATGTTACGCACTGTTGTTTAATTAAGCATGATTTTAGTTTAAACAACTATGGTCCCGGCTCGGAGCGTACTTGGACTGTGATCCTTACTGTGTGGATTCAAAACACTGTTGCTATATTAATCTCTCGGTCAGCCTAGTATGCAGTCCTTCCTTCATACCCAGAAGTTCACAAGTTATACCAGATTGAGACAACAACGACCAGTGAAAAACTCTATATTTTGAAGCAACAGCTGGGTCTTAAGATCTGACATGAATCGGAGAGTTCGCATAGCATTCCATTTAAGAACTATTTACTTTTCAACGAGCCACTTTTGCAACAGCCTTGTGTGTCTTTCTTATAAAACGTTTATATAATTTGTTGAGCGTTTCGTGATCAGAAACAGCTGAAATTATTATAGCTGGGAAATGATTGCAATTTATTCGTATAACAACAGCTGAATAGAGATAGTAAGCTGCGTACTAAAGGCATCAAACATTTTTATATCTTGCGCGTTTTATTGAATCTTTGTCGCAGATTTGATGAACGCTTTATAGGTTAGTTTTTGTTTATTTTTAGTTTCCTTAGCTGAAAATAACAAAGATTTGTGGTTTTAGTGTGTGCTACAAGCAAGGAAGCTTTAGTCTTCCTAAGGACTTTAGTTTCAATGTTTACATTTCTTTTGTGTTGTTGTCTTTTCATCATCTACGATCCTTGGTTATGAAGCATTGAAAACCAGTTTCAAGCAGATCTCTATGGATTGCTTTAACGTGTAGCGATAACAGAGCTAAAGAGTAGAATAATTGAAATAGCACGTACTATTGTTCGTTCTAGGAAGCTTCCTTTTATTTAGTTACCTACTTACCTAGTTACATAGCTCCCAGTTCATGTTATATATACAACACGTGTACTCATAATCGTTCATGCCGACAGGATTTAAACATGACACTGCGTACTCCGGTCTGTTCTTCAGATTCAACAAGAACAAACGGTTTCTTTAGAAGGAGTAGAAAAATAGAGCGGCTAAATGTTCCGCGTTTTATGTTCAACAGTGTTCATACGCTAATTCCTGACGCTCAATGAAAGATAAGGTGTGTCTGCTCGCAATTTCAAATCTAGGCAACTTCAGGTTGACTAGGACGAAATACTTCCTCCACTTGATATACTTTTCTTACAATTAATTTTAGTTGCAAACAAGAAATATCTCGGTTGTTCAAACTTGCGTATATGTATATATAATTGTCAAGGACATGGCCACTGATGGGAGACTGACAATATTATCGTCTGCTGCAATACCTAAACCGCTTCCGAACTGTTAGCTGTCTATTATGTATTTTTTACTATAACAGTTCAGCCATGTAGTATAAAACATGCACCCAAGCGGGGTCTTAGATTAATGAAAAAAAAAAACTTTGGAAGGAATTGCATAAAACACAGGGAAACCAGCAATATGGAATTCAGCAAAACAATGTTACATGGAAATGAATGTATTAAATTGTATGAAGCAACGTGCAATAATACTTAAAGATGCCTGCAGCATCCTTTCATTTTTTTACCATTTCCTTTACAGGATTGTTTTAGTATCGGACGCAGATTCTATGTGCATTACATGGGTGCTACATATATCTGCTATTACTACATTACTTTTTACGATATTGTGGGTTCATTCCCATTATTTTCACTCACTCCATTTTGTCGATTTCATTATCTTTAACGTAATTTCCTCAATTGTGCTCCTTCAGTAATAGCAGAGACTTATTTGACCGCATGTTTCGTGTTTCTTGCTTGGTCTAAAATACAGTACGTTCCGCTATTTCCCTGTATCTTATGTCACAGGCATATTGTACATAATTTTTTTCTCTTGATCCCTTGGTGCTTTGTTGCCATCGGTTTTGATTATGTTGTGAGTTGTGGAATAAGGCCAAAACCATGACAATCCGGTTTGTGAGCGAGCGACAACAATGGAAAAATTCTAGTGAAGTCCCCTGAAGTTATCATATGTAACAAACGTTTTCTTGTTTATACGGATTTGTTCAGATTGAAATGTAGGGTGTTCATAACGACTAATTGGCTGGTATCGCTTCACATAAATTATTTAGGCTCGCGGCCATGGCCTCGTCGCCAGGCTCCACGCCCCGGATAATGGTCTTCAGGCCGACCCTTGAGGAAATGAAGGATTTTTCGAAGTATCTGCAGTTTATGGAAAGTAAGAATGCTCATAAGGCCGGCCTTGCCAAGGTAAGTTTTTGCATCTGTGATTGCTTAATTCTACCTGTGGGACACCAGTTGTCGCAATATATGCTGCACACAAGCAAGCGAATACGGATATAACTACTTAAACGGTAATGGCTGTCAAATATGCAGCTACCAGGTCACATATGACTTTTTCGTAGGACTGAGGGTTTTCACTGCTAATGCAGCAACAACTTTGAGGGAGCTTTTATTTTTCAGAGAATGTAATGTTAATTTTATTAGAATATCGAGATCATAACAACGTTTAGTGGGAAAGGGAGTAATTACACAAGAATACGAATCTACGTCATCAGACTGGCGCCGCGTGCTCGGTTAGACGTTAACTTGGCATGTACAAATGGAGTAAGATATAGTTGTGCTTCTATTGGCAATTAGCAAGACAAGTTCTCAAATAACAAAAAAAGACAAATAGCAGGATTCATGCAGTACATTAACGGATCAACTGTGACATAGAAACGATAGATTCCAGCCGAGTAGTTAGTTACCAGGATACCGGGGTCACTGACGAAAAGTAAGAAATACACTAAATACACACAAATGATTTTTGCAGCATAGCATGAACACTTAAAATAGGTGCGAGGGGAAACCAGCCAAAGCTGACGTTTCATGTACGGTTTTCCCTTCCTTTATGATATCAGATTATTCCACCTTCAGAGTGGAAACCTCGCCGGAGGCCATATGATTCTCCTGACATTATGAACATGGTTATACCAGCTCCCATACAACAAGAGGTACATGGAAGTGGAGGACTTTATCAACAGTACAATATGCAGAAGAAGAAAATGACTGTAGCAGAGTTCAAAAAGTTAGCTGAATCGCCGAAGTATGCTCCACCTCCATATTTTGATTATGAAGACCTCGAACGGAAATACTGGAAGAACATTTCTTTCAACCCACCAATCTATGGGGCTGACGTATCCGGGAGCATATACGACGAGGGAGTCAATGTGAGTAATAACGATTTTTGCCTTGCATTCAGGAAACTCTCATTGTGTTTAATAAATTTACAAAAATTAATGATAAAAGAATAGCCATCACGAGTAGTGAAAGATGAGATCGATATTTGCTCTTCGACGTTAGGTTTAGAATATAATCCAAAACTTACCGATTTTTGGCATTCTATTGAAGAATTTACATGGAACCTAATCCATGCCCAGAACCACGGTTTTTTATTGTGTGCTGGGCAAACATATTGGCACCCGCGCTTCGGATGACGCAGCACGTCTATAGAGCAGTACTGATTTTGATACAGGAAGGAAAAGGTAACAGTGGTATTAAAAATAAAGGAAACAACTTTACAGTTACAAAAAGGTGCACCCGAAAAGGAAGTCTTATTGAAGAGAAGTGTACTATAATATAAAAACTACTAGTGAAATACGTCATTTGTAATAATATTCACCTGTTCTCTCTGCCCTGGCTTTTATGCATTCAGGAAAACATGGGCTTAAGAAAAGATTTCCTTCAGTACCAAATTAAAAAAATGTTTAACAACTTTAAGAACAGAAAAAATGATCCTAAAGTGTAGAACTACATTTGACTAACAAAATACAATTTGCAAAGAGAGGGTGTAGTTCTATTTTTACAAAGGGAGGCTTACAAATGAGGGTGGGAGAAGAGCTTATCCTTAATGTAACTTCGAGCTAACGTTTTCAAGTCAAATTATTTATTAAGGAGCCGTGTTTAGACTAGCTCTCGCTAATTTGTAGGTAAATATATACTATTATAATTTTCATGCTAGTGCTGGGATTATTTGAAAGAGGCAAAGCATCTATTTTTCTTCTATTGCTATTAATATACTGAGTATAGGAATTCAACATCTCACGACTCAACACAATCTTGGATCTAATCGGGGAAGACTATGGCGTCAAAATAGAAGGAGTCAACACAGCGTACCTCTACTTTGGAATGTGGAAGTCCACCTTTGCCTGGCACACTGAAGACATGGACCTTTACTCAATTAATTACCTACACCATGGAGCTCCGAAGAGCTGGTATGCTATTCCGCCGGAGCACGGAAAACGTTTAGAACGCCTTGCTGCTGGTAAGCCCTTAGTGTTGCTAGTGCAACTACACGTAATGGATAGACTGGGCATCATACATTGAGAATTTCTCAGATCTTTGTAAATTCACGCAGTTTTGGAGTGTTTTTTCATGTATTGCTTGTGTGCACTACTGTTTTTTCTTCTCTATCGGCAAAATGAACTGTACATCGAAAGTTTTATTGATAGTACCTCAGGTAGCCATAAGATAATAACATTACAGGGAATAAGCAGAAGGATCTATTTAAAAAAATAATTTCGTCAGGATATTAAAAGTATTTTAAACATATGCTTCAAATTAAAAGCAGCATTTTATTGTTTCTGGGTTTAATAAAAGAAGACGGTGATACTTATACAAACATTAAAGGCGTGTCGCGTTGGTTTTGCAAAATAGTTTAAATAAATACAGCTTCGTTATAGCCATTAAAATCTTTTGGAAACGCCTTGCTGCCTAATATATTATATATAAATTATATTATATCAAACAGCTCTCATTTATCTCTACCTCTCCCTAATCTAAATTGCACTAATTACATTGAATCCAAGTAGTGTTTTCTTGGGTTTTATCTCATCGAATGTCAGCTCAGTTCAACAAACATAGAAAATGCGTTTTCAGTTCCGTCTTGCAGGCAATAACTTGATATTTGCTCTATTATATTTGCAAATGTTCTATATGTGTTTTTGCATCGTATTGTCAACATTTCCAGTGCTCATAATATATTTCTGCTGATATATGCACACTAATTGACGGCTAAAATGCAAAAAACGTAGTGGCCTATAATTGATAACGAATGGATTTTATATGGCCAAAGACGATTTTCCAAAATACAGCATTGGGGTGACACTCGTTATTTTATTTAATGCATCGAAACGTTTCACGCGATTACGTTCTGAACACAGTGTCTCATACAATATAGAGTGCTATAAAGGGTGGTCTCAACGCTAAAAAAACATGCTTTTCATTTTAATGCACCATTTGTAAACAACTCTTGGTCGTGATTTGATTAAACGTAACCAGAAAAACAAGTCCTTTCATTACCTATTCACTACTATACTATAGCAAATGGCATTTCTCATGTTTGCGACATATACATGAAGATTGCTACATATTTGATACATAAGCAAATACACGTGCAAGTTAATCTAAGCTTTGGGAAAATGTTTGCTTCGGCGAAATATAACAGTTTCAACGCGCTTGCCCTGACTGTTCCATCTGAATCATGCATACGGCGTTTGTATTTGACAAGGAAAATGCGAATGGACATTGTGGGAATAAAATAGAAGAGGTTGTTGTTTGTTTTTGTTTACTTTATAGACTGACGATCGAAACAAGGAAACCTGTTTGCACTGGTATCATGACAGTGCTAACCAAGAAAAGAGTCTAACGCAATGCGCTTTAAATGAGCCTCTCTTTTGCAGGTTTCTTCCCAAAGCTGGTGAAAACTTGTCCAGCTTTTCTGCGGCACAAGATGACGATAATAACTCCAGCGTTGCTAAAGAAGTACTCGATTCCGTACGACAAAATCACGCAAGAAGAGGGCGAGTTCATGATAACGTTCCCCTATGGGTACCACGCAGGTTACAATCAGGGCTTTAACATTGCCGAAAGCACAAACTTTGCTTTGCCTCGCTGGATAGAGTATGGGAAAAGATGTACTCAGGTAATTCGCGAGAAGATAGCCCTAAATAAAATAAAAAGACGGTGTTAAGTACCACAGCGTTTATCCAAACATTAGGATAACAAAGAATTAGCAGATCATGCGAAATTCAATACTCTAAGACTTCAGACGTTCAAAGAAGTCTAGATATAATAAACTATATGCTACAGTGTAACCTGTGAATGCCTATTTGCTTTCGCGTTCACACCGAATACATTTGTTGATAAAGCGTTAAGCAATAGTAAACCCGGAGCATACTTTTGGTACCACCATTATTACAGGTGCTTGTTTTAGTCTTAAATCGAAACGCATTTTGCCTTCATATGAAAATAGAGAATATTAGATGGTGGGTGTCGCACCTAATCGGGTTTGAAGCGTCCGTTCAGAGACGTTAGGTTCCATGCGCTGTTGTAACTGGGGTTTACTTGGCCATTCAGTAAAAGAGCTAAGAATATGCCCCGAATATAAAAATGAACGTGACCTCAGGTAATATTCTTATTGATGTGGTTTACGCTTTTGGGATCCTCAGTGCCATTGCCGACAGGACAACGTGCATATAAGCATGGATCGTTTTGTCCTCAAGTTCCAACCAGGACGCTACGAGGCGTGGAAAGCCGGTCGGGACATGGGCTGTCATCCCGAAGATCCGTCAAGGGTATATGCCGCACCTTTGCCCATTACATATCTCTCTGCAGATGGTAAATCTAAACGAATACCTTCTGTTGTTTCGAGGCGTCTACCACCGGCTGACGGTGAAGCCTGTGTACTAGAGGAGGAGGCTGCGAAAAAACGAAGTGGATCTAGAGATAGAACAACTGGCAAAGGTAGAACGAAGCGAATACGAACGTCAATAGAAGCAGCAAATATGGTAAATATTGATTCGTATTAACAACTATTTTATATTATCTACTTTGTTCACTGTAATAGACAATCCTGGCCAGTGTGAACTTCTCGACGAACAGAGAAGGCATGTATGGACAACAGGTCCGTTTTTGGGGTGTGAGTCTTGCTAGCTATTTTAAGTTGCTCTGGAAGCTTACAGTAAAGCGCTCCGTCCAGATTCTACTAAATTCTAATCGTCCAGGTTGGAATATCTATGTTTTAACCATTCTCCCCTGTATAAAATTTGTTGAAATTTTTTTCATTATCGGTACCAACATTATGCAAAATTGTCTGTTTTTTCCGTGCGAATAATAATAGGTATGTATTCAGGTGTGGTGAACGATATGCAGTGTTTAGCGCCTTTGACTTGGTTACACAGAAACAGGATGCAAGTAAACCTAGCTAAAATGTAAAAGCCGCAGTAAATGCAAAAGAGTCAAGAGGAGAAACACGCCAAGTCTCAAGTCAAACGCGTAAAGAAAATGTGCCGGATCGTGGTTGAAAACTGGCCCCTAATATTAGACACATTTATATATTATTAAGGCGACCTATTTGAGAAATCGAAAAACACGTAACGTAAGTTGACTACTACAACATGGAAGCATAAATGCAACCTGCGGCTTTCATCATTGAAGCAATTTTGTTTATAATCTAGAATAGGCTACTGGACCATTCGGCTGGTTTACTGACGTACGCATTTCAGATTAATCTAAATTCGTGTAGCAAAATAGTGTAAATACTCCCCATTACTTTTGTAAAGCTCATATAGTTAAGTAAAAATGGACTTGCTAAGGAATACGATAACGCCCGACAGATACGACATCAGCGCTGACTTGGAAAAACGTACCTCTATGTTCATCCAGGTTTCAACAGGTGCACCGTAGAAATTACGTCAAGCAGCCTTTTAAGCCTCCATATTTTCTTGAATTACATCTTCTGATAGATATTCTACACGGCTTCCAAGGCTGATATGTTTAATAACACCCAACGAGATTTTGTAATCCTAATTGACTCAAATTCTAGCATAAACTTACATTTCATATCGTTTGCAGAAAAAGCACTGTCAGCCTCTGTTCGTTAAAGTGGAACGTGTTGAAGAAACCGATGCTGAAATCGCTGTCGCTGTACGCCAAGCGGTTGATAGACTCGTCTTTAACGTGGCACAAACGGCAGGCCGACGCAAGCTTAAAAACCTGCCGGACTGGGTGTTGGGGCATGCCCCGTTATTTGTCATCAAGCCAGGCGCAAATCCCTTGTCTAGAGAGGACCTGTTACTTGCAAAACGTAATTATCATCGGCAGCTATGTTCACAATCTCCGCATTGCGCAGTTTGCGTACCGTTCCAAACATCCATTATTGTTGAAGAAAACAGCTTATTGCGTAGCGACCCACAACTGGAAAGTTCAGATGGTTCCGCAGAGAGTGATAGCCCTGTTCCCACACAGAGTGAGGTGCTTATTCCGCCAGCAGCGTTCGGCCAACACGGTAACAAAGAAGGCGTCAATCCACCGGAGTTCTTCGAGACCCAGGATTCATCGGATCTCGTTAAATGCGTTAGGTGTTATCTACGCGTCCACAAGGTATGATAGACATGAAGAATGATGTTGTGTTTTCGAAACCTGAGCATTAGAATCTTTTTTTTTTATGGTTAAAAATAGTAATACTCTTTAGAATAACGCACATTCTTTAATTTAATAATTAATCTCGAAATGAGGGTGCCCATTGAATGATGGATGTGTTGTGAGTGGGAACAGCGTTAATGAGCTGAACTTTTCGGTTTCACAGTTGTTCCTCCTCAGCTCGATACGCCGAAATAGGCAATTTTTTTATTTACTCACTTATGAAAAGTTATCTTATTTCAATGTATAGACCTTGTATTGACCTATATGTTCTAGAGATCTATATGCAACACCTTGATCAAAATCAACAAACTCGATATCGCCCAAACGGGAGAAAAATTATCTTCTCGGTTAGGAAATTGCGTAAATCGCTTTCTGACTTTGCTACTTGTTATAGTGACTTCAAAGCTTAAGTTTTTGCTTTATACTCGGGAAGTAGAAAACAGCAACTACAATAAAGTTGTAAGTTACGCTGTAAATAACGACAGCACCGAAGATGGCTTTTTGTATATCGTAAAAAGTGCGACAAGGTGCTACACGTCTCATACGAATTCAGCAACAAGCCGAATACAATGGCTGATCTAGGCTATTTCGTAAATGCAGCTTCACTACGATGGAGTAGTCTGTGAAAGTATTTATGAAATGCCCAAATAAATGCTCGTTCAACTCTAAAACAACAATGGTTTTTATGTAACCTAGTATCAATGCAAGAGGGATAATTTACGAGCCTGAACATGATATCAGAAAGCACTGAACGCAGAAATGACCGAAATTTGCACAGCCTTTTTCACACATCTTTCGAGAAAAACTATGCTAGTAATTGCTGAGGTCTTAGGACTTTCGTTTAACCTTTGCTGAAAAAGTAATAATTCGATCAAAGAAGGATCTGCATTCTGGAGGGTAAGAAACATTTCGTTAGAGCTATTGGACCTGTTGCAGTTTTTAAGAGTCCACGGAGTTCAATAAGTAAGCATATATAACAGCAGCCGAATGGTTTGGGACAAAGCGGAAGCTCTCTCGGTCCGAGTCCAAGTGGCATGTCTTTTTGTCTCCGGCGCCGACAGTCCCTGATCAGTAATGATGCCATCACGAGCAAGGCCGCGTTGGATGATGCTTTTCACTGCTATGTTTTTGACACATACATAAAGGCAAGTTGTTAAGTGTGGCGAACATGTTTGAGCAAAAGAGATTGCCAAAAGGATTACTGCCATCATTGTTTAGATGGTCAAACTTTAGAAACAAAAAAGGAAGAAAAGCGCGATGGGTCTGTAGTAGCGACTTTGAATATACTGAGAGATTGAAAGGTACAGAATCTGCAAGCATTTCCTTGCTCTTTAAACGCAAGTATTCCATGTAAGGTATTCGATTAATCGTCGTTATATGGAAGACCAAGAAGGAGCTCGTCGTCATAACTGAACCCCAAACATGAAGGAACACCGATTAAGCAACAGCTGCCCTCTGCTCTCCTCTTGCACTGGAGACTTTACTCAAAAAAGCTTTGGTTGCATTCATGAAGCAACAGACGCCACTTTGAAACAACTTGCGGGGCTGGGCCTAGGTAGGTCATGGGGCGCGGCTCCATGAACAGGCGTCTCATATCATTAAGAATTGGACTCATTGAATTGCATCATGGAATTACGAGAACCATCAACGCTAATCCTACTAGTTCCGTGCGCGTTTAACGACTTTAATAGTTTAGTTTTAACTGAAACATGGGCTGTTGATGCTCATAATAACCACGGCTTTTATGTAGTTTACTGTCAAGCTCAAAGGAAAAAAACCACTGGCCATCCCAGCGGAGAAGTTACGCTATATTGTATTTACGAAGCGAGAGAGCTACGTCCTGCGCTAATCAAACAATGTCGTTTCCGTCATCGGTACCAATATCAGTATAATAGCTACATTCGTTCGCTCGTGGAAAGTAGAGCGAGTCCTCACTATGGTCGAGACGTTTCATAACGGTTTACTCTCCTGATCGTTTGCGGCAACTTAAACGCATAAATGGAGCAATGCTTACTTTTTCGATTTCAAAAGCCACAATGGAAGTTCTGGTGTTTGTAATAAGTATTGGGCTCAACAGAGTATTGATGTCAAAATCTGAGCGTAACAGCTTATCAGCATCTCAAATTCCGTCATTCATATACCCAGTTCTAACCAATAGTAATTCAATAAACTCTGTCATCTGATCAGAAGAAGGCATTTGTGAGTGGCAATGAGACTTTTTAGTCTACTTCAGGACCACTTGCCGTAAAGTCTGAACTAAATGGAAACTGGCTTATCTCGAGCTTTAGGAAACACTTCTTGTCAAAAAAGGCGAGATTCCATTTCTATAAATGGCTCTCTCGTTTTGAAGCCTGCTCGATTGACTCGTTCACCATAATAGAGCACATTGCGGGCATATTCGGGACAAGTGATACTATTACGAAAGATCATGGTACCCCGGGATGAGATTATAATTTACCAGTGAAGTTATCTGCGGAGCGATTTCGCTTTATGAATTATTGTCCAGAGACTTCAGGCAATGTTTTCAAACAAAGCAGCTGGACTTGATTTAATTATAAACGAGAACCTAAAAAACGCGCTAATTCTAGTTGTCCGTTGTATGGTGCTTTTAACAAGTGCCTTCGCACAGGCTTGTTTCTTCTCAACGTCTCGAGGTCAATTTATCATTACCAAGGACGACTATTATTAGCCAGTACCTTGGCGAGCCAAAGTCAAGGAAGGTGCCTGTTACGAGCGTTTTCTTAAAAAGTAGTCTAGTTAACTACCGAAGAACACAGCGACAACCTTGAGGAAATAACATTGTTTTAAACGGAACTGCTTGACTATAATAGCGTGCTTGATTCTGTCGACTTTATCTATTTATTTAGACTTTATTTAGGCTTTATCAAACAAACTGCGCTTTCGCCGCAAGTATATGTAGTGCTCGTGGATTTCAAAACGGCTTTTGGCTCAGCCTAGTGGCATAGGCTACTAGGGATACTTGTACAAGTAAATATGCCACAAAATATGGAAAATCTGTTAGTAGCCATACTATAAAAGATTCGAATCGGGACGATAGTAGATCTACGCTGCACTACCCTCTCAGACTATAAGAACAAATCATTAATTAACCTCACTTTTTTTTCTTGATCTTCTTGTCAAGATTTGAGCTAGACGCAGCTAGACAACGTCATGATATACGCAAATTATCTAGCAATTCATGGTTGTACCCGGTGCCAGGTCCTAACAGGCTGTAGTTCCTACTGGACTTAAGTTGTCCTTTAACTATGCAAAGGCTATGGAAATGAAGTTAAAGGGGGAACGACGTATCGCATATAAGAACGTTTTGAGATATGTCAGTTTCTTGTTTATCTAAGTGTTTGAACTTCTATATGTTGATATGTTCTTAACCAGCATTTGCTTTGTAGCTAGAGTTATCAAAAGTTTTTTAAAGGCGCTTTCTGCCATAACAAGAAACAGGAACCCGCGCTTTCTATTCGTCTTAAGTGCCATATGTTTTTTTGACTCGTTTTGCCTACCACGCGAAGACTATCCGAAAGGACTTAAACCAGTCAAGCAAGTCTTAAAACACTTAAACATAATATCTTAAATGTCTTCTGAGCCTCTTGTATAGCTCGGGGAGGGTTCGAGGCCCAGTTGGCACCTCCCTATTCATCAAATAGATAAAAAAGCAAGTGGGCCTTCACGCGACATTCTCAATGCCGTGGACATCGACAATGACGTGCCTGAAATCCGAGAAAAGCGATTCTCTAAGATTAACCCCTAAATTTCCTAAGCTCAGGTGCCATGAACAACGATGCATGAAAAAGAGAGAATCAATCGAACAGACGAGAATGTTGCAAGATTTGCCAATCGCAGGTACCATGTGAATACCCAGATATTTCGCATCCATGTCGTTTAGACTTTTTCTATATCATATGGCCGAATGTATGTATTTAACCTTCCTAATTAACCTGTGTCGGGGTAACTGATCTAGTATGCTTTCTAAATGCGCTCAGTTTTCTGATATTTTCCTTACTCGCTTCTATCGTATAGTAAGTCTTTACATGTGGTATACTATAGGAGTGCTAGATGAAATTAATATTAAACCTGAGTTACCTGCAAAACTTTGAAAAGTGTTGCTAACTGAAAAGCAAAAAGAACATTTTCCGCTGTTTGGTCAACTAACTGAATCGCATTGATCGAATACTATATAAATTTGTGCACGCATGAACCTTGTGGGCGGCTAGTACAAACTCCATGCAACCGATATGCATTTAAACTATTTGGCAGCCTAAATAAGCTCCTAGTTACTAAACCGTGGAACTTTGTTTAAAGTTAGTGTCTCAACTTCTGAAAGGTGAGCACGAACTTGTATTTATACAGATACAGATCCAATGCTTAGGGAACTACAGGCTAGCATTCAAGTGCACTTGGAGTTAAAATACAGATACCGATTTCTGTTCGCATCGTAAGTACAGAAGCCCTTACGATATGAAATAATGCGCCAAACAGGCGCAGTGGATTCGATAAACTTATATAAATAAAATCCAGCGGCGTCACTTTAGCCAGGGGCTCTTCAGTTCTGCTCGCGAATAGTCTGTTTATGGTCCATTGCACGTTTTGTGTATTCTTTGTTTAACGAAACCATTCTCTGCGCGAAGCTGAATAAATTATGTACTAATTAAATTGAGTTATATGGTTAATCTTATACATAAATTCTGCGAAATTTCTTGTTTTGTTGTTTTGATTTATCATTGTAGTCTTGTTACGGATTGAGTTCTTCTACTCCGGAGTGGACTGAAGGCGGTAGCAGCCGAGGAAGCGCGTGGGTATGCGACGCTTGTAATCATGAAGCATTGAGTGAAGCTTTTCAGTCACGGCGTCAAGCAGAACCTCAATGCACACTGTGCTGCTTTAGAGGAGGTGCTCTCAAAAAGACTCTGGACGGTCGCTGGGCCCATCTTATCTGCGCAGTACTGATTCCGGATGTATATTTCGAGAATTTTGAAGAAAAAGCTGGCATTGAGACCAAACAGGTGCCAAAGGCTCGAAAAAGACTGCAATGCTACCTTTGTAAAGATCTTCCCATGGCTCTAGCTAACAAAGGGGTCTGTGTGCAGTGCTACTGTGGTCGAAGTATGCACGTCACGTGCTCTATGGCCAGCGGGACGCAGTTTGACATCGGTATTTGGCCTGAGCCCGTCTATGTTCGCTGCAGCGTGCACCGGCAACGTAAGGAGGTTGGTTCATAATAGGAGTAGTGGCTCCCAGCCGACGTTTGGTATCCAATAACAAACCACAGCAAAATAAAGGCCATGTTATAAACTAGTTTATTAAGGATAAAACTAAGTGGACAAGCCTAGAAAACAGAATATTAAACATTGCTGATTATATTGTGCGGCTATTGTGCATACAAATACTCGGGATACTTATAACAGTAAAAACTACAGTTCCAATTCTGCACGAACATTGTTTCTAAAACAAAATCGAGCTTTCTCGTCAACAAGTAAACTTTTATTCTGATATTTTAAACAAGTAGGTTACTCGTTGCTTTCGACACCAACAGCCTTTAATGAGAAGTTGGAACGTTGGTGTTAGTGGTACTACGCTGCATAAAGCAAGGCAGCTAAATAAAAGCTGACTAGCTGATTTTTTGATTAGTTAAACATGTATTGTTTAAATGCTAACCTATTCCAAATAGTTTCAGTGAGTATATCTTAATATATATGTGTATATATATAATCCACTGGCGATTAGATATTTGTATAATGCAAATAAATTACTTTTTTTTCGCAATATTAACAGTTTTTATTTAACGCGTGTTTGAATCTCACAGCAAGCCACAGCGGAAGACGCGCAGACGCCAGAGGCAAAGGCAGAATTTTTAGAACTACAGCCTGGCTGTCAAGTGTATGCGAAGCACAAAAATGGACGATACTATTCAGGAACGCTCCAGAACTTCTTTTATCACACCTATCACTCCGTGCACTTCCACGATGGTTCTACAACACATGATCTCAGCATAGACTTCATATTTGTTAAACGGTTGGTTTAATTTTTTGATCTATGTACTTGTTCCAAATGATCAAGCACGGCGCTACTTGATTCGGAAATATTATATACAGGCAGACAATTGATATGTTTTTAGGTACTCATAATGTATGACATATATAGGGCGTAAAGTACACGTAAATGGTTTATTCCTTGATATGTGGTAAATCTAGGAACCTTTCTTAATATGATACTTTTCTGTAACGTCAGTTTTGCTCAAGTGTTGTACATCAAGACTCATTAGAAACAACATTAGCGAACCTTCTGAACCGGAACCTAATATCTCGCACATTTTTTTTAGTAGGCCAGAGGTGTATATTATAATTTTTAAATACTAGTCATCTGTAATTTTGGTTATTAGTAAAACACATTCATATATATATTCACACTCACAGAGACCCATCAAGAGATGACGATGATAATTGGCGAGTATGTTCGAATGATGACGTTCCGGAATATGGAACCGATGTTGTGGTTCTGTGGCCGAGTGATGGCCAGCGTTACAAAGGTCTCTACACTGGGAACACGAAAACACCAATGTGCACTGTTGTGTTTGAGGACGAAAGCGCCTTGACGCTGCCACGAAAATTCGTATATGGTGTCGACGAACACATCCCGAAAAGAATTGCTTCTAAAATTGTGAGTAGAGATGCAAATGAATAACAAAAACCACAAATAGTTTTAGCTTTTCTTGTAGTGTTCGTATCCTCATGTCGAATGCTAGTACCACTATATAAATTCTTAGAGCACCTGGGTATTGTAGCGATCTTATTGTAATAAAACAGAAAATGTTATGCCAATCTATATATATATAAGTTCACTTATCTATTAATTGCGCTAATATTAATTTTATTTCCATGTATTATTATTATTATTTATTAAAATAAATCAATGACCAGTGATGATAAATTATCTAGTTCTAAGGGGATAGAGTGCTAAGGTTAGTTGAGTTTTTTTTACTGAAATCCTAGAAATTGTTATTACTAAGGAGCTCGTTGTCATGACAACATAGATTTTATCTGAGTTATCAAATCTGAGTTAGCTAATTGTATATTCTCTACCATCGACTCTTGACCTATGATTATCACGATTGTGTACACCACTCAGCTGCTTTGTTCTTTAAAAAACACTGGGAGATGATAAATACGATCTATTCTTCTCGTACCTGGTCCTTTATGTTTAATTCCCAAAACCAATAAGTGAAAACCAAAATATATAAATGGAAAAGTTTGATTTCATAGCCGAGGTCTACCTCGGTAATCAAAGTGTATACTACCATTTGAGAATAGTGCACTGCAGCGTTATCAATTGATAAAAAAAAAATGAGCAGACCCATGTCTAGTAAGAGTCTAGTAAAAAAAAAGTAAAGCCATGAGCATTTTTTGATACTCACACAGTAACGACTTACGATTAAGCTGAGTATTGCTAAGTAAAATCCCCATTAGACATTGTAAAAGTTATTATATGGACTTAGAGAAATTTTAATCAAACCTCGGACTTTCCCTGTGATGATTACAGTCGTTCGCTTCTGAGGCCGCCCACGATGATGGCACGTCTATTGGGGTGACGGCAACCGATAATAATGGTTCTTCGACCGGGTCAGCTACTGTCGCTTTGGGATCAAAGCGAAAACGGGTGCCGTACAACCACTATGAGGGCTTTGGCTATATCGACTTCATGGAGGACTGAATGTCAGTCGTTGTTCAAGCATGTTGGCTACAGCTCAAAACAAAATCAGCAAAACAGCACCTACCTTTTCCTGGTAGCAGTACTTGTAGTAAATAAGAAGTCGTGCTCACTTATACATGTACATGTGTGCACGTTGTCTCCTTTTTGAAAATAAGTCAAATATGCTGTTATAGGAAGGCAACTTTGCTTTAACTCATTTTATTATCGAAAACTCTTAGACAAGGCGTACTTGCATGTATTTTCCCGGCAAAACGAATCGATTCTATCATGGGCGACGCTAACTGAAGGCACTAATTCTAACCCTGAAGTTTTCGAGCTTAATGGAGTGGATGTAGCCGAGACACTCACAGTGGAGCATGCCACATAACGCATCTATGTATAAACATATGAATTTAACTGAGTACGTGCGTGAATTCCGGATACGAGGAAATTGATGATCTCGGTGAATACGGGAGTTTATGTACAAGAAGTTATTACACGATATTGCGTTACGACCAAAATAATAGTAATACTGACTCCTACGAGGGACTGACGGTGGGCTGTAAGTGCTCATGAAAACGATCACTGTGTTAATCGTGAGATCTGGAACAAAATAACTCGAGTAATATGTCAACAACAGAATACATGTACACCTGTCCGATTAGTATCTGTATCTTTGTGTACAAATCGCCGGAGAACCAACGGAAACGTCAAGAGGTCATCAGCCCATATATATAGAAACACCGCCGTTCTAGGACATAGAACGAGTACGCAGTCATACATTATGCTATATGATAGCGAATTCGACTATAATAACAAAGGAATTCATTGTTTTGATTTAATTGGGTACCGTATTGCTATACTTATTCTTCCGTACTGTTTTGCTAATAAAAGGTCAAATCCTTAACTAGAAGTTATATATACATATATTATAAAGAGCGATTATATTGATTGATTGAATGGGAAGTGAGACGAATTGATGATCAACTCATTGGATGAAAGAGTTAGGGTATGCGGACCTTTGCAGCAACTGTTAGAAAGGTCTATGTGGTTTAGGACATGACAGACAAGTGCGATTGTGCCCGTTATCAACATGCAATGCGGGTCGTTATTGCAAAAGGTTGTATATTATGTTTTTCGATATTTATTTATTCTGCTGTCCTATAGTACTACTATCGCTTATGCGTATCTACGCCATTAAACAGTTTACGGTACAGGTTCTATGCTCAGTGACAACTGCAGAGATGTACACAACCAAATTATTACAAGGTTATACTTAGCATCACGCAATTACTATCAATACGCTATCGATAAGCAAAGTGTCATAATCTGTTGATAACGGTCGCGTCTGAAGAAACTAACGTGTGGGCTGAATGTGATTTTGTGACGGACCGGTTAGGCGCTTAGAAGCAAGCGAAAGTTCGTATAGGAAAAATCATATTTATCATCCAAGACATCAGGTTACAAATATGGCAAAATAACTGCGTTTTTTGTATAAAAGAACACAAAGGCGACAGTATCTGTACGCTAATTGGCTTTTTTACAATTTTAGTCAGTTCTGATATTGTAACTTTGTACCATATTTGGAACCTTCTGGTCCTTAGCAAATCCTTAGAAGTGATAATGATTTGGAAAAATTGAAAACATAACTTCACGAGAGACGAAGCGGGCGAAGGGTTGGTAACGAAGAGATCAAAACGTTACCTAAACTCGATCGGTCGATATTCGGTCGTTAGACTCTGGTGTCCACAATGGTATTCAACCGTATTAACCGCGTTCGTAAAATAAGTTTTTTTTTATCTGTCTCATGAAGGAACCTCCACGAAGATAAAAACGATGAAAGAGATGAGAATTCTATTGTAAGGTTATCGGCGAGGTGTCATTGGCTCTCTCGCCGTTATCCCCCTATATGGGAATTTTCAAAATCAAATGGACGTCAATATTGAAGAGAGAACAAACGTCAGTAGTGAACTGTGTTGTCACCCTCGCTTCTTCTCCCCTATTTCTTATTGCAACGACTAATAGTAGCACAGTTACGGTAATACTTGTTCTAACAGCTCTACTGTTTACAGCTTATGAGTGAAAGAATGGATGTAGAAGTGCATACGTTTATCTGTGGGACTCCACAGTGTGTTTGTTGTACATTTAAATTATTTCATAGTTTTGTTTGTGATTCTCATCTCATCATAATCATAATTCTAAGTGAAAGGCATTGTATTTATTTCGAGGTGTACATATCTCTCACAGAGGCAGACAACCACTACAAGAAATCCAGTAATTATAATAAAGCATCATCAAGCCAATAGCATGTATTTTCATTTTATATTATGCATTCTATACACATTATATTATGCCGTAACGTGGCTTTCGACGATGGGTATGGTTTGAAGCAGCGTTTGTTTGTCATGAACACTTACTACCCAATTAGGGAGCCGACTAAGGTCACGCAGAATACGAGTGACACTTCCCGTTGACGGAGGTAACACTGAAACGATTGGTAAAAATATTCGAAAATACTTGTTCATTCGCATTGAAAATAAAACCAGGAGTCAAAACATCAGTGCAGTTCAACCACGACAACATGACGTCTTGCTTATGAACTCGGCTTATCGACAACAATTGCAGATTCAGAGCCATCAATAATATCCTTTATTCACTAGTCACATGTTGGATCTCAAGGTACCTTTTGCAACTACTGGTCAACAATAGACAAAATTGCCGCATCCGGAGTTGAAAAAGCCTAACATAAACGTCGAACAACGATCTCTTCGAATGTGACGAGCGGCACTCTCTTACACTCTACTTCGCCACGTTGGATATATTATTACAACTCCTGGGATAGCCTCAGTGGAGGTATACTGTTGATTCGGATCCAGCCCTGCGGTAGAGAATTCCTGAAGGCAGGGGATATTAAACTCAGTTTGCTTATTGAAGGGATGTTGCTTATGCTACAGAGATCTTTCAGGCCAACGGTTTTCCTAGGAACTCGGAACAGATGAAGTACTGCTTGTATTTATCTTGCTATAATTTGTATTAAAGCAAATTAGTGGGAAGATGATATTACTGATTGGGAATTAGCAGCATCACCATAAACTTCGATATGTCGCACAACCGTAAATATTTGGGGTGGCTCCACGCGGAGTCTTCAAAACATAGACATGCAATGATTTGTTTAGAGCTATGGCTTTTGTTGCATTACAAAGATGAATCCTGTTTCTGATGCAGGATATTGAATTCGTTTTTAACACTAGATGTACCGACATTTGTTATTTCTATCCGATTGGGATAACTTGGTAGCTTTGTACGCACCGTCAGCCTAACGCTGGCGTGGGTGCAATTAAATTAAAGCCAAAGAGGTGTTGTGCATATAAATTCGTGCGGTTTCTTATTCCGCTCGGTTAAGAGTGACTGCAATCGCACGTAGAGGATACGGACTTTTACGACGGTTTTTTAATGGTAACGGCCGTAATAATTGCAGCAAGCCCTTTCGTCCATAGGGGTACAGGCTTTGTGGATCCACATTCTATTGGTGCAACAGGCCCATGGGAAGCCAACAAGCTGATATTGTACAATGTCGGTCTGCTCATAAAAGGGAAGACTGAAGTGACATATTTATGCCGTAGACCCCTTTCTGAATGATTTCCTGCATTAATACGTCACAGCTCAGATCCTGGGTCATTAATATCCGGGAAATATAGGTTATGAGTAAGCCTCGGGTCAAATGCCTCTAATATTCCTCCTGTGCCCGACTAAACGTAGCCGATCGTTAATAAGCTTAATGTTTTCATAATTTGAGCTTAGGGTTTCAACGGCTCAAAGTTCAATGGCGTCGTAATATTCTTCAGTTACACAAACTTATGGAAAAATTCTAAACGCTTTACCTGCCTGCTGGTAGTAGGTTTAATGTTTTCAATTACCATTATGGAAGCAGGTGAAATTTAGTTTTACGGGAGCTTATTTCGTATTGAACATGAGAAGCAGATGAGATTTATCCCATATATTAAAACGTATGGAAAGATTTCATTGAAGAAGCTGTTGATCTTGTCGGCGGACCTGAAGATGCTGTTGACACCGTAGGTGTACCGAACTTCATTTCCGCCATGTCTTCTTTATCTATAATATTCTTTCACTGCATAAGTGATTTTCTTGTTCATCTGCATAATCATGCTGAGGTGATCGCTGCCACGCCTTTTTAACCGCAAAGCACACGTATGTAGCTGTTTCTGCTGTTTAGCTGCATCAACACCGACATCAGCGCATGGCATTTCGCACCGACTGTCTGTAGCTAGGTTAACAATAGCGCTTCATCTGCTTTTTTTATCAGATCAAATTCACTGATGGGATGCTAATGTTCTTCTCTCTTTGATATCAAGCGCTTGAAATCTGTATCCATCCTCACTAGGATAAGAACGATTAGTTACTTCCTTTTCTTCAAAAGGTTCGATATTTTATTTTTTTTACGTGTTTTTAAGATAGTTGAGAATTATCTGTTTTCTTTTCTTAAATCTTTTTTTTTTTTTTAAGTAAATAAACCTTATTCTCTGATACGTCATTGTGAAGCGTTCTACTTGCCCTATGATATGCAACTTCCCCCTCCCAGTTGGTAGTTTACATACGATACTGTAAGCCTTAGTTTAGTCTTGCCCTTTTCTTTTATTTCATCCGACAAGGTAGTTAGTTTTTTAGAATACCTAAACAGAGCATTCCGTTAAAACTCATGAGCCACCTTTTTCGATATGCAGCGGGACTCTACTATACCGATTTGCCGGCGTTAACGTCTTTGAATTCTTTTCGTTTGCAAAAACATTTTTCTAATAGCGTCTCACGTTGAACTTTTTAGAAAACTTGAACACCGTTTATGGGTTCTTCTGGCTGACCTAATATAGTCCTACTAACTAGCTCTTTTACAGCCCTTAAGCAGAAAAAGCGATTTTACAAATGCATGCTTCTATATGTACGCGATTGTTTTTTTTTTACATAAAGCAGTTGAAAACATTTACAGTTATGACCCTGTCCTCTATGTGTCAGTATATAAAAACACACTTGTTAACAAAATGTAGACTCCTTCCTCTGCTTTTAGTTTTCTCTTTGTGATTTTTAAGGTAAAATATCGAAAGCTAGAAACAACTTATTTGACACGGGGGCCATGTTAAATCCAGTGCGTACATCATTTGCTCGTTGGTAAAACGCGCTTTCATTTTTCTATTATCCAAGCCATCATTATACCTGGTTGGAAATTTTAGTATTTACTGGAACGCCAAAGAAAACGAATTTTGATAAATCTGACACTAATTCGCCGTGAAACAAATTCCATCCGCTTCGCCAGCGGTTAATTCAAAAGACATTATATGTAAGAGCGAATCTAGTTTTTTTTTTCTTATGAGAAATGAAGCTTTCCATCCTTCTGATTAATCGATACATCGTATAACTCTAGACTAGGGTAATGGTTATTGTAATACAGCATCGTTAGCCAGTATTATTAGCTAATCCTAATCTATTTAGTGGATCGAAAACTCAGACCTAACTATTAAACCAACTTTATTGACAAATGAAGTACATAAAATGCTAGACTATCTACGACGATATATTGGGAGCAAAGATGATGTCTAAGACTGAAAATCAACGCTCAGTGATCAAGTTTCAGTCAAGCAGCGGATAAGAAAGCTTTTAGCGAAACGATATTTAATTATCGGTGCACTTATTTTGGGAAAACGAGTTGGTAGATGGGAATTTAATAAAAGTGGACTACACCTCAGGACCCTATACAGAAGAACGAGTTGCTGAAATCACGGGAGAAAAAAAGACAGCACATGCCCCCAAATAGCTTAATATGGAGCTTTTCGAAGCGCATGCCATGAATTTATAATGAAATCATTGCTAATGAAAAAGAAAAGTAAGAAATGGGTTTCTCACAATCAGAAACGATGGAAAAAAGACGCGTCTGGAGTACACTGTTGACATGGGTGAGACATGGTTTGATCTGTGCCCCTCACCGAAAAACGATCAGGCGATAGAGTGGAATCGAATAGGAGGAAGAAAGCGGTAGTTCTGGCGAATAGACCCTAGCTAGACTGAAGCCCATATTCGTTGAAAAGGAAATGATCAATGCTATCAGACATCCCCAGTTCCTGGCTAGCTTTTGATTTCAAATTGATGGCCCAGTGTCATTCTCGACGACAATATACGACCTCATCAACCCTTCAACGGTTACGGCTTAGATCAAAGTTAACAGAATTAAACAATAGCTTCAACTCCCCATATTTTCTAGGTTGAAGGCTGCGTAATGCCGATCGCTTCTATGCCTTAAAGAAAGTGGTAGATTACGTAACGTATCCTATCGTTAAGCTGTATGCCGAAATTATTCGCAAAATAAAAAAATTATGGTAATGAGCAAGAGATTCGTCGACTTCGCAGAATTTCCCAGCTCGAAGGATAGCTGTTGTAGTAGCTGCTAATTTGATGCGAAGTTTAGATATACGAGTATTGTCAGACAAGCGTTTATCTTTGAGAATGAATTTTTCTTCAGAAATTTAGCTGCAGCAGGTTTAGGAATTTGTGAGTCAGCAATAATTAGGGGAGCGTCAACAGTCGACTCGACCATTGTAGGGTAAAGGTAGATAAATTTTTTGCCTTGCCATTAATTAGGCAGTGGGCACAAAGCAATTCCTTAAACTCGATGAGCTTGGAATTTGCATTAACAGTGGGGTTTGCGATGTTCGTTCCGTTAACGGAATCAGGCATATTATTAACATAATGATCGTTCTTAGGTTTCCTCTTCCTGATGTTCAAGAAACTTCTAAAAGAACTCAGTTCTTTACGAACACCTGACCTCGATTAAGAAAGTTATTGAAGAATTTGAGCTTTTCTTATACACAATGGGGTCCACTCAGAGAGATTATATGGACCAAAAGCTATTTTCAGCTTTAATAAAGTGACCGCAGTTGTAAAGGACTCAGGGCCTTTAATAAAGACATAAATATATGCCGATGATGTCGTTATAAAGATGGTCGCTTTCGTTTTCGATTTTTCAGTAAGGAAATCACCTTCACTGTGGATCCGAAGGCAATGCCAGAAAAAACCCTTGAGTTGCTTGCAATGCCAAATATGTCCCTACATTCCTGTATCCTAATTTTCCTCAAACCAAATTTTCAAGCAATGTCCGCGCTCTGAATGTTGCACCCAGTAAAGTTTACATAATGCAGCAATATCTGTTTCATAAAGCCTATGTGTTAACAATAATTGGGATGTCCTGAAAAGTTTATTTTTCAGAAAAACGGTGCACCTATCCGTGTAAGCCAGTAAACTGTAGAGCTAGCTGGCTGAGGATGCGAGAATAATCTGGGGCAAGAACTTATAGCTGCTTCGAAGCCTAGATTTAAAGCTGCGGATTACGATGTTCGGGGTATGACTAAGGGATAATCATACAAAACATAACTTGAGAAAGCCGACACGCTCACTATCGCCATTAAAAAGATGTTGAAGAATATGAATATGAATGTTTTGTAAATAACCAAAAAAGAAATTACCTTTCGGTAATTTACTACGGAGGGACAAAAAGATTGATATATATTGTAGCTTTCACGTAACCAAAGCTATAACAAATTGTATACGATATGCTGCGTCGTCATCCAGTTCATCGCTCGTATGCGTTTTCGTCTATCACAAGTTCCAGTTGTCGTGTATGCGGACGGCGTGGCACTATGCGCAAATTTTTGTACTTTAAACGAACTTTCTCATTTACAAGAAAATGATCGGATCGTAGAACAGTTACAAAGTAGCAGAAATATTAAGCTGTGTCATTCCGCACGCCTGATTTTGCCCTGGTTTGCTATATTTTTTATTGTCGGGCCGCATTGTTCACTTTCGAGATCGTTTGCTTGGATATGATCACTCGGGCTTCTACCAAACAAGTTGTATTGAGTTATCGAATACTAGAAGATCGGAAAGATTTACGAACGTTGCTTTTATATTGAAACTACAGCGATGGAGACAGCTCACTGTATAACGCCTCGTATTCGGTAAAAGATCTGTCTCTAAAAGTACCGTAATCTATTGATTTCGAAAGTTCCGGGGTAGAAAATTTGACTGTAGAAGACTTTTATGGAAGACGCCCTGCGAAAATGAATGGCGAACAGTTGATAGCTGTAGTAGAAATCGAAATATCTTAAAGTAGATGCGCAGCACCCAGGTTTACTGTATGTACAAGTAATATGTCATATTTGTTCATTTGGTTAAATCAAATAAGCGAACTTCCTCACTTCGAACAAATCAATAAAATACACAAAGAGGATGAAGAGATGCCACCTTATTTAAACGAAGATAAAAAAAAACATAAGCCCTCTCTTACTTCTCATTATTCTCACATGATCACAGTTATTACTCCTGATTCAAATTATGACTTGTAATCAAAAAAAGTAAACAATGATTTCGGACAGTCACATGAGAAGAAAGTGCAATCAGCCGGTGGGATCTCACTCAAGTAAATGTATAATTGCAAAAACTTAGCAAGTATTTAGTGTTCTAATATGGGTGTTAGCCACTACAGCTTCATTGAGTTCTGAAGCTTCAATTGCGACAAAAGTATACGGTGAAGAGGTATGAATGAATTCTGCATTAAGTAGCTGATATGAAGGATGAAGAGAACCAACAAAAATAGTGAACCATTCCTATTTTACACCACAATATTTGACCTCACACTGGAAGTATCACGGTGGCAGAAATGCAGTAGTTAAAGCTGGGGGCTCACTGTTATCCTCAATGTCAAAAATGTCGACAAATGCCTCCATGGCAAATTGGTCAATTATTAATACAATGTCAGAATCGATCTTCAAGACGTTCTAAACGTTCATACTCCAGGTTGTCATGGCAGCACAGTTTATAAATTGTTACTTAAAAATTATAGATAACATTAGCGATTAAAAATAAAAAATATGTTCATGAAAAAGTTGGAAAAGATGAAGTTTACCATGTTAAATTTTATGCCAAACAATTTTACGAACCTTATGTCCAATAATGTCGTCAGGCATTCCATCAGCCAGCTGATTCCCACCATGAAACAAAGTGTTCGTACGAACAGGGACAGGGTCTATGCCCAACGGCCTAACATAACACTTACTTACTCGACTTGATTTTTGTCACTATTGTTCCCCTCAGTGAGTCACATCAACGCCCTTAGATATCATACAAAATTGCTATCTGCTGATTTATTACAGTCTCGACCTCGTTGTACCAGTCCTTCGATGTCGGCTTGATCTTTTTAAATATGTTAAAAGTAAGTCAGCGAGATGGACGATGGTAAAGAATTGACTATAATCTATAAATAAAAATACTTTGAAATTCATTGCAGAAATTAGAAATCACAATATATATATATATATATATATATATATATATATATATATATATATATATATATATATGGCTGTTACAAGCGAATCCGGCTGACGTAGAAGTTTAATAACCTTTGAACTACGT